CGGGGGGTGCTGGGGGTGCTGCGGGGCGGGGAGGCCTCGGCCGGCAGCGAGGGATGGGCGCAGACCCCGGGGGACTCGGGGTGACCCCGCACCGGTGCCCGGGCGGCCACGCGTGCGTGCGCGCGTCTCTGTGTGCACGCGTCGGTGGCGGTTGTGCACAGCCTTCGAAGGCTGCAGCCCTGCTGCAGGGCTTCCCCGGTGCTTCGGGCAGGCGGGAGGGCGGCTGCGGGGGGCTGGGGCTGGGGGCTGCCGCCGTCCTGCCCTGCGGAGGGAAGGCGGCACAAGGAAGGTTGTGCCATGAGCCACGGTCCTGCTCAGGGCCTGTCTGTGATGCTGGCGTGGTCCCATCTTAGCTGAGATGGAGGGCACGTAAAGGCAGTAGTCGTCTCGCGCTCCGCTTGCAGCCAGTGGAAAGAAACAGGCACCGGGGCAGCAATTCGGGCTGCTCCTGGCCAGGCATCCCTCTTTCCTCTGGCTGCCGAGGGAGCGGAGGGCCCTGAGCCTCTGCCCGCAGGTCTGCCCGTGGTTAAACGCCTTGGGCGAGGTGAGACCAGCTCGCGTGAGAGGTGACTGGTACCGGGATAAAACAGCCACTGCCCGAAGGGAGCGTGCATCTCGGCGTGCACTGAGGTTAAACCTGGGCCTTAAACCTTAAACCCTGCGCCCTTCTCGACTAGCCACGTGGGATGCTTTTAGACCACTGCTTCCCCCTCCACCCCCCAAGTTAATTATTAGGGGAATTTTTTGCATTTAATTTAAAAATGAGTTTAACTTTGCCTCAAATATTATTTTTTAACCTAATTGAAATGTAATGTGTGTGTGCCTTCTAATTGCTTTGAAGAACCTAATAATAAGCTCCTTAAAGTGATGGAGGGCTAAAAGCTAGAGGGTTTTGATAAATTTAACATTAGCTTAACATTTCCACAGGGATTTGAAAATATCAGACTTGCAAGGGTATTGCTTGAGCTAAGCAATGCAACTTGTCCTTCTTCAAAGAGCTGTTGCTCTGCCCAGCTCGCTGTGGGGAGGGCCCAGCGTGCCGCGGCGATGCTGGGGGAAGGAGGCAGAACGGGGCCCGGCTGAACGGGGCAGAGCTGTGGGAAACAACAGGCCGAATCTGTCAGCCCGGCCCTGGCGCGCTGGCCCGGAGGGACGCCAGCCGGGATCAGCACGGCGCTGGCAGCGCAGAGGGGCACATGGAAGATGTCGGGTGCATTAGCGCGTATGTGCTACGTGAACACTCCAATTTTTTAAGTTTCTCATTATTTGAGAACCTTTTTCAGTATTTTCTTTTAAAATAAAAGTTGTTTTTATTCCTTAGATCTCACAGGCCTGCAAAAACATGTGTGCTGAAACAGGGGTGGGTCAGTTCCCAGGCTCCAGGGGCAGAAGGGAGAGCTTTGCCTCTCCTGCGCCCGCTCCTCTGGCCCCACAGGGTCCCATCGCTGCTTCCCACCCGTGACCTCCCGCAGTGGGTGCAAGCACCGCAGACTCATCCGCCAGGACTCAGACTCTCTCTACGCTTACAAGGGTGAAATTCGGCACGGCTTTTAGGCTCTGCAGAGCAGGGATCAGATTTTTTATCTGTCCTTGGCTCTGAATCTGATCGTGAGCAACATCGGTCCAGGTAGAGCTGGTGCCTGACGGCTGCAGGCAGCTGATAACGGGGCCTTGCTGAGGGATGAGCTCACTTGCTGCCCAGCTCATTAAAATATGATGTATCAACAATTTCCTGGTCATCATTACGGCCGAAGCATCCAGCTGAGGACCAAGCTACCAGCCCCCTGCGGCAGAGCCGGCTGCCAGCCCCGTGTCTGGCCACAGCCTCTCGGGGTGGGCTGTTTCCCTCCAGCCTTCAGCCCGTAACTTGTGAGAGGCAGCGGCTCCTCCCGAGGACAGGTCAGCGCCCAGGATTTGGGAAACCCCCAGCTGAACGGGCTTTATGTGACCCTGAGCAAGGCACAGCCCCTCCAGCCGGCGCGGCAAAGCACCGCTCTGCTCCCTTGCAAGGGGCAGCTGAGACGGAGGCATCAATGCCTTTCAGGTGTGCTTGGGCCTGACTCTAGACTTACCAAGAATAGGTATTTACTTGACTAATTAACATAATTTGATTTATAGGAAGCTGTTGAATTGTGGGTGCAACACCTGGGTTAGCCAAGTTGTGAAATTAAGTTCTCAAAGACCAGAAAAGTTAGGATTTAGGACCAGAACGCTACTTTTGAGAAACAGGTCTTCATGTGATTTGAAGCTCCTTGAACTGACGTCCAGGTATGCTCCCAGTTTGTTTCCTGAGCCCCGTGGGCCATCGATAACTGAACGCACCCTGCAGCTCCCAGGGCTTTGGGAAGCCCGGCTCAGGCAGATGGCAGCTTTTTAGCTTTCAGTCTACGGGAGAATAATTTTCACTCGGTGTTCCTGGACCTCGCTGGGCAAGTTCTGCTGGGTTACTTGTTTGTTTTCAAGGGTGAGCAAGGACCAGTGACAGAACCAGGGTTCAAGGGGTGGGCTCCAGCCCGCGCTGCTGCGAGGGGGACGGCGTAGCTGCGGGGGGCTCGGGCTGGGCGGGGGGGGCTGGCTGCCAGGAGCCCCTTTCTGTGCTTATTTCCAGCGGTGACTGTGCCCGGGGCTCTGTGGCCCGCGGCTCAAGCCGGCTCTGAGCGCTTGAGGCTGG